TTGTTTGTATATATAATTATATATATATATATATATATATATATATATAATTATATATAATATATATGTAAAAACAATTTTGACTTGCGTTAAAGAGCAAGTCTTCTGGTCTTCGATCCCCCGACTCTCTCTCTCTTCGAGGCTACGTCGAAGGGCTCGGTATAATCGTGCAATGTTATGTATGTGAATAATAATGAAAATAAACAAACAAACAAACAAACAAACAAAAAAAAAGAGAAAAAGGACACGAGTCACGCAACGCGGACGCTTCTGTAAAGAACGAGGGATGACTGAAGGAGCTTACCGAGAGAAAAGGAACAACGATGTAACTCTCTTGCTTGCCATTGTGTTCGCACTTTTTTTTTTTATATATATATATATAACTTCTTCGTTCTCTCTCTCTCTCTCTCTCTCTCTCTTTCCTTTATTACCTTTTCGTTCTTCCTCTTTCATTCTTTTTTTTTTTCGTCTAAGACTTTCTTTCTTTCTTTCTTTCTCACTTTCTTACTTTTTTTTTATTCGTTCATACGACATCCGTCATCTCTCTTTCTCTCTCTCTCTCTCTTCTTCCTTCTCCTTCTCTATCTCTTTCTCTGTCGCTACCGCGCTTCCTCTTCTTCCGTTCTTCCGCCTAATTTCTTCCAGACACCCCTCTCCCCACCTATCCTCTCCCCATCCCCTCCCCTCCCCCCCTTACCTCACGCTTAGATCGCACACTTTCTCGAGCTACTACTGATGGCGCCGTGTGTCGACCACGCGCCTTGTTGATTAGATGGTACTAACCGAGACCAACACACCACGCACGATATATTTAATTGTACGTATTATTATATACATTCCCCATACATTCCCTCACTCCACGTTATCCTCGTATCGTCCCACTCCCCCTCCCCCCCCCCAATCACGAGCATCTGCACGCTGGGAAACGCAAATTCTGTGTATACATAAATATATATATATATATATATATATATTTATGTATACACGCGCGATTCGTTGAACGCGTTTCCACGTTGGAGGGGCGCAAAGCGTGAAGAAAGAAAAAAGTGTTTATCCTCGGGAAAAAGAACACCAGTTTCTCGAACCGATCCTCGCAGAGTTCGCGTTAGAGTTTCCTTTAAGAGTTTCGCGTTAAGGGGGGGGGGCGGGGACGGTAATAATAATAATAATAATAATAAAGATAAAAATAAAAAGAAAGAGGACGAGAGAGAGGTGTCCGTCCCCGCGTCGTCCGTCACTTTTCCTCTCGTTGGGCCTCTCGTTTGTCGTTCCTCGTTTGTTCCCGCGATCAAACGCGCGACGAAGCGTCTCGAAAAAGAGAGTCTCGGTTCCTCCGGTCTTTTTTTCGTCCTCCTTGCGCCTCCAAGGGGAAAAAAAGAAACTAAATTGAACAACAATCTAAATTGTCATGCACTGTAACGGAGACTCCGCCGGGAGTCTCTTCTTCTTCTTCTCTCCCTCTTCCCTCTCCCCCACCCACCCCCCCCCCCGAAAAAAAGAAAAAAGAAAGAAAGTCTCGCGGTCTCCGTCCAGCCCATCCAGACAGTTCACACGCTCGTGTTCACGCGGCCCCTTGTGTGTTTTTTTGGTGGTTGCAGGTGGGCTATCGTCACCCCTGCAGCGCGCCTCTACCGCCTCGCCCCACGGGGTCGGGGGTGTTGTGCCGCCTTCGTCCCACGTGTCCTCCCAGCAACCACCGCCGCCACCGCCCCAGCAGCAGTCTCCCTCCCCCCGCGCTCCACCCCCACGCCATCCTCTGCCACCTCGACCACGTCCAGCCTCCTCTTCCCCCCACCCCTGCAAAACGTCGAGACGTTCGGCTCGTTCCTCGGCGAAGAGATCGTCGCCAACTGGAGGCGGACGTTGGAGAGGTCCATCATGAATCAGCAACAACAGCAGCAACAACAATCGAACCCGTTGAGCCAATTGTCGCAGCAACAGCAAGGCCAACAACAACCGCTGATCGGCCTCCACCCGCCCGCGGCGAGCAGCGGCCTGAATCATCTTCCATCGCCCACCGATCCCTCGTCCAGCTCCAACACCCCCGCCAAATCGAACACCCCCCTAGGAACGACCCCGCTCAGTTGCCTCGACGCGGAGAAAGCGCCGACACCTGTCTCCGGCCACGAGACACCGGCGCCACCTACGCCATCCTCGACGACAGCGTTAACGTCGCCACCGAGCTTTCAACCGCCGACCTCCGTCATCGAGACCACCACCCCCTCCGCCTCCGTCAACGGCGCGACCCTCACGCCCGCCGTCCTTGCCCCAGCGCCGCCCCCCAAGAGCCCGCCCGACCAGGAACCTTGCCACAACAACAACAACAACAACAGTCATCATCTGGCCAACAACAATAATAACAATAATAACAATAACAACAACAACAACAACAACAACAACAACATAGGGGGGTTGAGCGTGCTGGACACGCTGAAGAGCCCGTTCCGGTTCGACGATAGAACGCATCCGTTCCGATTCAGCGACGAGTTCGGGCCTACGGGGATGCCGGTCAGGCTGGGCGAGTCCCTGATCCCGAAGGGGGATCCGATGGAGGCGAGGCTGCAAGACATGCTTCGCTACAACATGGACAAGTACGCGTCGCAGAATCTGGACACGTTGCACATAGCTAGGAAGGTGAGGGAGCTGTTGTCGATACACAACATCGGGCAGAGGTTGTTCGCCAAGTATATACTCGGGCTGAGCCAGGGAACGGTGAGCGAGTTGCTGAGCAAACCGAAGCCGTGGGACAAGCTGACGGAGAAGGGGCGAGACAGCTACAGGAAGATGCACGGGTGGGCGTGCGACGAAAACGCTGTAATGCTGCTTAAATCTCTAATACCGAAGAAAGGTGAGTACAATGAGTACAAGAAAGAAACACTTGTTCTCCACCTCTGTGTCTCTCTCTCTCTCTCTCTCTCTCTCTCTCTCTCTCTCTCTCTCTCTCTCTCTCTCTCTCTCTCTCTCTCTCTCTCTCTCT